CCCAGTGCATGAATTTCGTGCACCAGGCCTCTAGTTACTATATAACAAATTACTCAAAATTTAGTGATTCAGGACAACAGGCATCACTTATTATCTCATAATTTCTATAGATCAAGAATTTGGGAGCAAGTTGATTGGGAAGTTATAACATGGGGTATCTCATGAGGTCAGATATTAGACAGATTCTACTTCTGCTTGAAGGCACTTTCAGGCTAGGGGGAGGGAGGGGCAGATGAGTTAATGGGCAATTGCAACATGGTTGGATAACCCCTGGAATAGAGTGTGGAGGAGGGTGGGAAAGGAGAGGTCAAGATGGGGACAGGTTTCAGGATGAACTCCACCGACCACTGCTCCAGCCTTTCTTCTGCTTAAGGGCAGAGTGCTAAGGAAAAACCTAACCCAGCCTTGAGGATCAGGGAAAAATTCCTAGAGGAAGTGAGGTCTCCTTTGAGACTTGACAATGAACAGGAATTAGACAGTTTGGAGGGCTGGGATAGAGGGATGGATAAGTACAAGGGCCTAAATATAAAAACAAAATATGGTGACTTTCTTATGGACCTGAAAGAAATTTAATAACGGTTAGACAGTAGAGTTTCAGAGAGGATAAGAGTGAGACAGAAGGCTGGAGGAGCAAGCAGGGACAGGTCATGATGGCCCCTCTGAACCATGCTCTTTTATGATGACAAAAGTTCACTCTGGCTAGACTCTAGGTGTGGGGAACATCTGGCTCCTGGGCCGTATAAGGCCCGGGAAATCATTTGGTCTGGCCATGCCGAGGCATTAGGGATGAGTTAATTAAACGTGTAACCAAATATAGCAGGCTAACTTTTAATGGCCAGATAACTTTGTATGGCCAGAGAATGATGTTATAAATACCGAAATGGCCCTTGGCAGAAAGAAAGGTTCCCCACCCCTGGTAGAGTGCGGAGGAGGGTGGGAGAGGAGAGGTCAAGATGGGGACAGGTCTCAGGATGAACTCCACTGACCACCGCTCCAATCTTTCTTCTGCTTAAGGGCCTCCCACTTCGGTCTAGTTTCTGGTCCAAGAAACATGTCCCAGGCTCTGCCTTTTGCAAGATTGCAATAACTGGCAGAAAGAATGACCTCATCTCCCTGGCTCAAGTTATCAGCTTGCCCCATCTCTGGAGCCTTCTATGATTCAGATAAGATACTCCCACACCAGGAAGTAGTTAGTCTATGAAACTCTGTTTCCAACAAACATATTAAAGGAATTAGAACATATGGAGTAACATTACCTCACATCTGGAGAATGAGGCAATATAAATCCTAACTTCCATCTTTTAAGAACTGTATTTGTATAATTGCTTTCCAGTTGCTTTTTATTTATTTATTTTTTTTACTGTGGTAAGAAGATGACATGAGATCTACCCTCTTAACGTTTTAAGTGTGCATTGCAATGTAGCTAACTATAGGCACTATTTTAACAGCAGAGCTCTAAGATTCAGGCATCTGGCGTAACTGAAGCTTTCTGTCTGTTGCACAGCCCCTCCCATTCCCATGAGCCCCTGGAACCACCATTCTACTCTCTGCTTCTGAGTTTGACTATGTTAGATGCCTCCTATCAGTGGAATCATGCAGTATTTGTCCTTCTGTGACTGGCTTATTTCATTTAGCATACTGTCCTCCAGGTTCATCCATGTTGTTGCAAAGGGCAGGATTCCCCCTCCCCCCTTTTTTTTAAGGCTAAATACATTACAAAGTATGAACATACCATGTTTTCTTTATTCATCCACCAACAGACATGTAAGTTGTTTCTATATTTTGGTTATTGTGAATAATGCTGCTATGAACATGGGCGTGCAGATATCTCTGATCTCAATGCTTTTGGACAATGGGATTGCTGGATCATATGGTGGTTCTATTTTTAAATTTTTGAAGAA